TAATTAATTCTAGGCATTTGAGTCTAACATTCTAATTTTCCTTTAGTTGTTTCCTTAGTTTTTCTGGTCTGACCAGGATTTTAAACAAATCCTTTAACAAGAACCCAGATGGTGCAGACAGGGTGTTGTTTTTCAAAGTATTGTTGTTTTTTTCCCGAACATCACCTGGATAAACTTCATTGTTCCAGCCCTGCTGGAACATACAATTTCTCTAAATAAAACTCCTAGCTGGCTAAAGCCAGCAGGCTCTAGCCCTGGAATCTAATCCAGCTGGTACAACCGGTGATCTTCAAGTATTGACAAAGGAAAAACGCATCTGAACCTAACAAGCAAAGCACTGACAACACAAGTCCAAAATAAATTCAGAGGTTTTCTAGTTCTCTCCCACTCTTCAGTTTCAGCTCCCTCATTGCTAATTAATCGACCCCCTCATGAGCTAATTAATCCTATCAAGATCTTTTTCTAGTTAACTTCACATGGATTTTTATAGAACCCCCCCCCAATCTCCCCAACATATAGACAATTAATCCAAATAAATTAATTTTCAAACTGAGGGGGCCCTTGGGTTAATTTCCTAAGGCAGCAAGTATATAAAGTTACTTCGGAGTGGAAACTAATCCGCCGGCATTCCACTGCGATCCCCTGTAGGTTTTTAAGGGATAAGGGTTGTAGGTTATGTACTCCCTAGTTTGTTACCAACTTTTGTCCTGGCGGTGTATATGTACAGTACATAAATACATATACACACATCCCATTGGTCCTCCACTGGCGCACCAACAATCGAGCAAAACAACCGATCCGCATTTTCTCTGGCGATCTCCTTGGGAGTTCTGCCCCAGGTCATGAGACACTCGACGGGTACAAGTGCACTCCTCAGATCAGATAGGGAAGACGATGCAAATGCTAGCAGCGAGCACCCTTCTGAGGGTGGAACCGGCATCTACTGCCTGGGGTCTGTCTTCATAGGGCAACTTCTATGAGGTATGGTCCAAGGGACCCATTATGTGCGGCTGTTGCATCCTTAGATTGGTGAGCCCAGTCCTCGTTTTCCAGTGTTTTGGAACCGTGTTGTTTTGGGTATCGCTTTTTGGTCCCCTATTGAGCATGCCCGCATATGAATGCAACCCTCCTATACTCCTATACACGTTTGGAGGCGCTTCAAACACTTCCCAGTTCTAACGCAGCCACAAATGCCTCACAACTCTCAACTCAAATCCCAAGACCAATTGACAACTAGCAGCCCGGATTTTTGAAACACATGACGAGGGTATATCGGGTATCCAGCAATTGTAGGGCAAGGTTCTGTGATATTGGCGGTATAAATATAATAAGCATTTTGGGGATGTATCTAATGGGATGCGGATGGTGAAGGGAGACATGATTACGGAGGTTCACAGCCTTTGTCGAAAAAAAATTGTGCCTTGTTGCCCGTTGCTGTTGAAGCTACATCCAGTAAAGGGACTCCCCGGAACCACCAGTGGCCATGTTGATTGGCGGGTGAAGGTCTGAATCTTCGAAGCCACCACAAAGGCATCGGACTGGCTCGTAGTCAACGAATGCAAGTGCTTGTAGTTATTTTGTGTGCTATCTCATCTGTTCTCACAGGCAACAGGCTTCACTCCTCAAGCGCTTCACCACTGATACTGTGATACTAGCCTTTACCATGGACTCATCTGCTTCTCCCCGAGCTTCTCCCACGCAAAACCCAAGGCGTTGCTGCCAAAGGGCACTTGCAGGGCAAACCGCCATCCTGACCCCCACGGAGCGCAATCCGGTTGGTTGGGGTGCCAAACACTTGCTGAACTCGTGCGCAACTACCACGTTCGCCACTCTGGAAAAGAAATGAGCAAAAAGGGTTCATTTGCCTGGTTTGTTGTTTCGGCGTGAGCAACAAGAGATGAGGGTCAGGTGGCTGGAGACTGGATTCTTGTGCTGAAACATGAAACATGGCCCCAGTCTCCATGTTTCGGGCAGTCAACTGGCCAACTGGTCGCCCAGTCACCGGGATGGAACAGTAAAACCACCCAAATACTTCCACACTGCAGTAGGTACTCCTCAAAGCTAATCATTAATAAAGGAACATAGAGTTCTATAGCCTACTGATATACATATAATAGTTATATAATATGTTGTATATATAGTTGTTCCAGGTATCTGATTAGTTTTGTATGCACATTGAATGCCCACCCAGAGAGATTGATGACCCGCCTGACTATGTCCACATGTCTCTTTTTGGGCGATTATTTGCAAGCCTTTGGGAACATCAGGCGTTCATGAAACCTGACTTCAAAGCCACACACTTCTGGTCAATACAGTCCACAACTTGCTTTGAACTCGATCTCGAACGACCGCTGAATGTTGGACTGATCAGCTAACTGAGAAGAAAAAAGAAGAAACAACACTTAGGGGTCCTGCATTGGGTGGCCCACCTCCTCCAGGAATCGGCTCTCTTCGGGGCGTTCCCAGCTGGAGGTGGATGCCAACACGTTGGCGTCGCTCGCTTGACCTGGGGCGGGAGACCCGTGTGCCAGTGGAGGCTGCCGTCTGGAATCCACGTAGGATAGAAGATGTGCCTATCTTGGCCGAACATTAGAAATTATACAAGTACTGTATATATAGATATTAGTACAGTATACAAATATATGCAACATAATCATGCTCTGGGTGAAGATTCCTCACCAGCACTAGCCTGCTGCGGGACTTAAGGTTCTGTGGCACCATTCCACCACTCACACGAAAAACCCAACGCTTACATCGGCCACATCATGGGTGACATCCTTCATCGGGGTGGTGGACGGAACCGAGTCAGCACGGTCAGCACGGACCCAGGCGAAGCCTTTGGAAGAGTGTGGGGGAGTTGACTCGCGGGGCTGTGCCGCACATGTTGGATGAAAGTTCCTCCTTGATAAACTGCCATTCCACAGGTATATATATAGGATCCCTCTGGCAATGTTTGCTGAACCTACTCCCAATACTGGGTCGGCCAGGATCATCAGCCTCCGCGACGAGATTCCGTTGAAAAGTGTTGGGCAACCAACACGTCGACCCAGTTGCCTCTCGAAGACCCTGCCGACAAATGGAACTCGGAAAGAACATCATGAAACCATGTGAAAGCCATACCTCCCTTCTTCCATCGAACTGCCGAAGGATGTCCTGGATCTCGAGTAGGGCAATATATTCCCAACCCTCTGACAACATAGAAGTTGAGTTCACCCCCGGCATTTCGACCACTGTCTTCCCAACATGTTCGCGATTCAGGTCCTCAGGGTCTTCCTCTTGAAAGCGATGAAGAGGACGTTGCGACAAGCTGCTGGTGGGTTCTTCACCCAGCGAGCTCATGATTTGATTAAATTCCTCGCAGGGCAGGCAGCTAGCTCTGAGCCCAACAAGACATAGAAATCGATGCAACCTACTGAAAACCCATTAAACCGGTAGGAGCATCCGGTATTTGTCAAAATGCGCGCCCCCCAATGTGGCAGAATTCCAGAATCCAAGGAAGGCAGGTCGTGTTGTATCGCCGGTCTTTCATGGTTTTTGCGTTACGCCATCTACTCTGACCATACTGCAAGAGGTCCACACACCTCTCCTCCTCGAACCTCATCTGATTGTATGACGGGCTAAAAGTGGCACCTCCCAACGGCCAATCCTAAAAGTTAAATTTCATGCGCGCAGAAAAGCTCAATCTTGACTTGGAGTCCCATCTTGAAACTTTATCTTGCCCAATCGTATGATCTTTAACTAATGCCGAATCATTTCCTTGTCTGCTTCGGTGCCTTCCACCACGCAACGAAAACACCAAGCACCACCAAAAGAAACTTAACAAAGAAGCTCCAAGTTACTCCAAGCTTAAGTGTCTGAGATTGTCTCAGGCTTTGGACCAAAGAAGTGCCCCTTTGGTCTGGAACGACCATGGCGGCCGCATCACACAGCTATCAAGCTGCGAAACCATGAGATCCTGATACCCCAATTCGGCCTTCTTGAAGGCGGTGTTCATGTGCCGCAAAGCCTGCTGCCAAAACGCAGGGCTTCTGCCGGAAAGAAACCACCACCACTGTAGGGCACAGTATGGCTCACAGTGGTTGCAAGAAGTAGTTACCCTCCCTGAAACAATCATGGAAGTGGACCATAGGCCCCTGGAAGACCATTTTCCTCTACACCACATCGCACGAATTGATCCCGCTCTGTTAAACACCCCTTGGTATGGTACCGGGTAGGTAACAAAAAATGACAATGAGGCAATTGCATATCTACAAAATCACACCGAAAAGGTGTTGAGCCCGAGTGTGAGAAAAACAAGTGAGAGACATGCAACTAATTAGGAGCGAAGGCATCTAAGGAGGCCAATCACAAAGTAGTAAGTCATCCAAAAGGTTTATTTGCGTTCGAACATGTTTACGAACTTTGCTTTGGAATGATCGAGTGGCGGAAGGCGGAAAAGGACCATTCTGCCAAAGAAATCGAGGAACCTGGTTGGTATGTCATGTTTTCGATTCGTTTTGAAAGAAAGAGTGTAGGAGGATTTCTTTGACCTTTCATGGAGGCATCATGGAGACCATTTTCCCCTACAAGGGGGTCCTTGTCAGCTTCCGTGATTGTTGGAGGGAGGGTACGTCTAGAGTTTCTTTGTTTCTGTGCATGCCTGCGCCAACTCAAATCTAGCGATGCATCAATCTATCCCGGCGTTTTCTGAGCAGTTCAGAAAAATGCTACAGGCACTGTCGTTTCCAGTAACCCACTCAATCTCAAAAACAAAGCTTGGAACAAAAAGACCACAGGCAAAGGTCCAGAACCATCGTTTTGTGGGATGAATTTCGAGCAACAGCCCGTTTGCCCTTCCCCTTCTTCGTTGCGTTTATCATGGCTGGTCGTTCGAACCCAACTTACTCGTCCTCCTGCCTTGCCGAACCCTTTAAATGTCGATGTTCCGACAAAGCTCTTTAGGAATGGGCAGGAAGGGTTCCCGATTTGCTCCACTCTGAAGTCTTCTCGTCCCACTTCCTTCATCTTTCTTCCCTATCCATCCATCTCCACCCTCCTCCACAATCAGACATATCAGACCTTTTCCGGCACGTCCCAAAACCACGGTCCGGTCCTTCAAAGGCACCGGTCCCCAGTCCGGATCTGGCGCATGGCGCATAGCGCCGTCGCATCCTCGGGCTGACCGTTTCGCCGTAACGTTGCGCCTCGGCGATGTTGCTTTTGACGAAGCGATTCATGGCTTCGAAGCCTCCGGGCATCTGGGAGATCAAGTGGTCGATCCTCAGCGTGGCGGTCCCGTGCGACTTCGGGCATGCACATGCGTGCGTTTCGCCACGTGGCGACTTGAAGACGTGGAGTCGCGGTGTCCGTGGCCTTCAACATCCTTCAACCCACCAAGTGCTTAAACATATTTTAACCACATAAATCAAGAGTCATGTCCTTGTCCTTCTGCACGGATGCGGTCGCATCCTCCAAACGCAGATTGCTCAAGCGCTTCGCCAGGTGCAAGGCCACGTCCACCCCCGCCTGCGCGGCTGTAGCACGGTTGATCACGGAATCCTCTCTCGCATGGAGTATCTGCATTTTACGCACCCCCCTGCTTGCAACAAACCCTTCACGCTACAGTATTAATTGCTGCGTAGCCATTAAACATATGATCCATCTCATCTTCGCTGATGTTCTGTTGGATCTAAACCATAAAGATTTGCCTGCGCCTGCCACACAGGTCCTTGCCATACCGCTTGCTACTCATTTGGGGCATGTTGGGATCTCTTCCGGACCACCAAGTCAATCCGTGTCCAACGCCCTCGGCGACCCACGTGGCGACCCACGCGCCTTCCCCTCATGCAGCACCCCCGTGGAGGTACAAAGCCAAAGGCCTCTCGGCCAAAACGACGGAACCAACGAATGCAAGAGTATCGACTGGCAAAACGCCGGAGCAGCTGCGCAAAGCCTTAGGATTCCTATGGATTCCTGAAATCTCTGGTCGCAAGCAGTCCAGTTGCCAGTCGGAAAGTTCGGAAAACAGCTGCAGCCACACCCGAAGAAGCTTACGCTGCAGCTTGGCACAACCAAACAACGACAACATGTTTGTACAAAAATGCTCCAGCTCTGCGCATAGCAGATCATAGCAGTAAGTTTTTAAGTCGTGACTTGACTGGCCAAAGTGGTCCAACAACCATCAAAGAGGCCAGACCGGTCTTGCATGGTCTTGCGCACCTCCGCTGTCTTCCCCCCGGTCTTTCCCCGATCTCTGAAACTGCGTTCAATCGGAAAAAGCCGCTGCTGTTCATCGTCGCCTTCGAAGTCGGGCCGCTTGTTTTGGATCTCCTTGGTCTGCAAGACCTCGAACCTCGCAGCGTCCGAAGGTCAAAGCCCGGCCACGTGAAACGCGGATGGAGAACGAAGGGTGCGTGAAATCACCCACAATTAATGATATTAGGGAATCAGTGTAAACAGTTGACATACTGCTTAACTGAACTAGGGGGCTTTGGGGCTTTAACCCCCCAATGTAGGCCATGGCCAATAGTGGCTCAAGGAAGGTCTGCATTCTGAAACATGTTCTGGCCCAACGCCGCCTCTCCGCCAAGCAACAAGCACCAGGCTCTAGTCAGGGGCATTGCCTCATCATCTAAGATCCTCAGGACTCAGTTTTCCTCCCAGTTCCGGAGAAACCCAGCATTGCCAAATGTAACCTATGTCTCGGAACCAGTGCCGCATCATAAGTCATAGACTTCTTAGACCAATGAAATCCAACGAATCTCCATGGAACTGATACCATCTCGTTGCCCATCCCATTGACGTTTGGGTGGTGAAAGCATATGAAACACACTACGTACAAGCAAGCAACACCTGAAAAGACTGTACTCGCTGCAGCTCACGCATGATGAAGCTCTAGAAGTTCCATCAAGGCCAGGAAGTACCCTCTTGAGCCATTCCATGATTTGCATCAAAACACCACTTGCATCAGAATGTTCCAGCTATGCCAGCTATGCCAAGTCACATCGCGGTCCCCAAACAATCGCTACAGTTTAAGGTCTTGAAGAAGGAGGAATCGTCCCAGCTCTTGCCCACTTCAGCCTCCACTTCCCATTGGTTGTTGCCTTCGGCCGGCGCTCCGAAAGCATCACTGTTGCATCGGATGGAAGAGGTGTTTTGGGAGAATAAATGGCTGAAAGTCATCCCGTGGCAAACACCATCTAAAGGCCGGGTGTAATCCATACACCGGGAAGTGTCTGCTGTAGCAAGTTCATTGATAGGAACCTAGGGTGCATACAGGAAAACGCTCAACAGTTCGTAGAATCAGCTAGAAAGACTGCTTCGGGACACCAAGCCTAGGATCCCCAGGGCCGGGTAAAAATGATGTAATTGAGGAAGCACAAGTTCAGCACAGGTTTCTTGCAATTACCCCCCCTGGAACTAACATGGAAGTGGAAAAACCACCTGTTTGTAGTGGATTTCATGGTCTTCCAAGGTGCCATTCTCCACTTCCATGTTAGTTCCAGGGAGTGTAATGCAATTCCTCTTCTTTCGCCGCGATGCTGAAGCTGCAAATCCAGTACGTGGGCTCTGTCCAGGGCACTCTCCTCATCGCGCGCAGCTCGCCGCGCCGCTCGCATCGAACCAATTCCGCAAGCATGCACAGCGCAACTCACTACGCAATGCCAACTGGTCCCCAGTGGAGAAGAAAATGGCAAAGCAATCCCATGTTCATGACTTCACCAGGAGTTATTTTCCCCTCAGGGGCCAGGGTGACAGCTCAACGGTGTTCTATTGTCTTCTTATTGTTTTTTGCGTTGGACCCTGTCAAGGACCCCAGGTAGTTGATCCTTATGAGCTGTTCTATTTTGTTTTTCCTTTCCTTTTTTCCGGCGCGAGCAAAACTCATCAAAACTCACCGGTCAATGCAAGGAGGGAGGTCGAGTGACACAAATGTTGAGTGGAGGATATGATCTTGTCTTCAACACCGGACAAACCTGTGGAGGCATCTGCTTGAACCAACTGCAAAGACGGAACGCTCAAAACAAACATGCCGTTTGTCTTGGAGGTCCGTGGCTTTCACATTGCACCACTCGCACGCACTCGCTCGCCCCAAGCATGGAGGTCTAGAAGCAACCCACCGAATTCAGCCACTGACTTTTCGGGACCGAGCAGCGAGTAGGGTGCCACAGATTCCGCATGCTTCCGGACCGAGTGCACGAAGTGCCGGAAAGAGGTGCCCCAGAAGTGAGAGACAAACCAAAGCACTTGGTGGGACCCTGGGCAGGGGCCATCGCAGCTGAAGGGTGCGACTCACGGTGACTGATTCGATTCTTCATCTGGAAATATTGAGCTAGGAGGAAAACTGTTGACATCTTAGAGTATGACCATATCAGTGAGAGATATGTTGCCCTTTGCCAGTGGGTGCCACTGCACGGAACTGATGGAACTGATGGAACCCCATCAAACAGTGAATCAGTAGATCGAGGGTTACCACTCCTAATTACACGGGGTGCAGCTCCTCGACCATCTCCAATCGACCACCTCCCGTTGGGTCCAGCTCGTCCCATCTCGCCTGCCAACTCTGCATAAGACAAGCGTTTTTGTGAGGTGAGCGGCATCAAGAGGTTGGAGACCACCTCACTGCAATCCACCCGTGTTCGGGAAAAGATCTGGCAATTCTCGCTTCTTGAAGCCGAGGTGCTCGGTCCTTGTCACCGCCCTCGTCGCGTCCGCGGGGTCCACGGTGTTGGGCAGCGAGCAGTGGGTCCGAGGCATCACCACCATTGGTCACTTTGAGGGCATTGAATCCAATTGAATCCCAGCAAACAAGAGTAGAGCAGAGTATGCTAATTATTTGATTCTGGTGTGGTGATGGTCGTCCTACAGGACAAAATGTGCTCAATGTGTCTGTTTGACGAATAACTCTCCAAGCTCAAAGCACACGGCGTATCGACATGTAACGACATGCATTCATTCTCCTCTCACCAGCGCTGCAAGCCAAGGCACGTAGTACATGCTCCGCTGCTGTCCTGAGAGGGCAACACTGAACCCAAGCTGGCTTGAACTTCTTCCACTCTCAAAAACGTTTTTGTAGGGCCACCCACTGGCTCGGGCTTCGGAGTTGAATGGCTGTAGTTGAGCAAGTTGCCTCAGGTCAGGTTCCCAATGCAGCCCTAGAGTCGGATCAAGGTCTCAAAGCTCATGAAGAAGCGCCACAACTGACCTCGCCCGAGGCATCTAGAAAGGCGAACACTATCCTGAGCAAGCATATTATATAAGCATAAACATGTTAAAATGAAAATGTTTAAACACCAGTGCCAGTAACCAGCATCCCACTTGATACAACTTTAGGGTGGTTGTTGTGCCTTCCTGCTAGAGGAAGGCCGTTTTCTGCCAAGCTCACCTGCTTGCACTGCACGTTGAGGTCCACGTTCACAGCGCTGGGGAAAGGGATTGGCCTCGCACCAATGACTTCACGAGGAGTTTTCTCACACAAACACCTGGGGGGAAAACAACACCAGAATAAATCAGATCTGTAGAAAACCATTGGAAAACCGTGATCCATGGTTGTGATATGTTGTGATTGCGTCACGTTGTTTCCCTTTATTCCCCACCTGACGGTGGCACGTGGTGGTGAAGACTCCGTGATGCCGGGGGACGTGTGATACGGTGCATGACGATGGTGACGTGGGCAACAAGGATGATGATGTGCTGCTGGTGGTCATGATGGTCGTGGTGGTATGTGCTGGTGCTGCTGCTGCTGCTGCACAGTATGGGAGCGTCGGTGACAATCATGATCATGCTCTTTCACTATTATTATGGCTCCTACATCCCATGTCGGCCGGAATGGTGATGAGGCCGCAATCTGTGACCCAGGAATCGTGGCAATCAGCACTTCACCGCAAAAACATGCACTGAATAATTAATGTTCAAATTCTGTGCCCAAGTGTCCAAGTGTTGACCTAAAACTAAACCTATGTTTCATGTCCCCATGGTGTGGCCTTTTTGATTACGACCCATTTGCACCCTGAGGGAAAGCAACACAAAGGGCTGGCGTAGAAGATCTACGACAGTTGTAGCGTAGGAGCAACGCCAGGTGGGCTCTGGTATTGCCTCACAACTCAAAACATCTAGCAGCTAGCACTGCTAACCAGCGCAAACGCAGCGTCAAAAGGTCCCCTCATGCCCCCTCCATGTCAACAAAACACAACCCACAAGGCAAATGGCTCCAGTCCCTTGTTTAAATTGAGACAGGCACTCGGCACTCTACGTTCAAACGCATGCGGCTCAAACAATCCCACGACACCCCTCAGCCAAGCGGCTCTCTCGAGCTCTTTACTGTGGTCCTGGTCAGTTGAGGGGGCCCGTAAAAGGATTTGTGCAATTGTGGGCACATGGTGTAGCTCAAGAACGATCAAAGAATCGGTACACAGGCAACATTAAAAGTTTGCAACGAATCCAAAACTGTCCGGGTGCCTGGGACTATGCAGTGCAACGGTGATAGCTCCTTGTTGCAACTGCACATGTGGAATGCATGAATCCATCACACCCACATGGAAGTACGTCACACAAAAACTCGAACATTGAACTTTTTGTGGGCTGGTCTTGCTTTGGCAAGCTCGAACCACTCAACCGTCTACGCTTTGATCTTTCTTGCCCATGGTTTTCAGGAAAAACTCACCAGCACTGAGATGAGGAACACTCCACAACTGACAGCCGATTAACTCAAGTTGGTGCTGGATTTCGTCCACTCACAGCACAAGTAAAGTCCACTCAGCGCATCTCAACTCCCATCACCCGGGTCTTCACCACAAAGACGTCTCCTTCAGCTTGATGTGCCGCAGGGTAGGTGGCGTGACCCGCCACTCCAAGAGTGCCAGGAAGAGGGCAAGCAACAAACCTCATCAAAAGATCTCGTAAAATTCAAACGACCTTTTCTGCGTCAGCCAAGCTCTAGCACTACCCAAAAGTGCGGAAGTGCCCCCCGCATCGAGAGCTCAAGAGGTATGGTATCTTCATCTGGTTGTGTAGTTGCCATTCTATTCATTCTATATCATTATACCCTTGGTAGATGCATAAATCATATCTATGTGTATACATATATATATATATACACTATACTTGAGAGAGGAGGGGGTGAACGAAAGGTAGCAGGCAATCACAAGCAACCCTGGTAAAAGTCCATGACGGCGTGAACCGGCGGAGAGGGGATTTGATCCAGGGCCCCCCCCCCCCGACGAACAGAATCAACCCTTACAGGACCAAACTCAATGCACAATCCCAACTCCTGATTGTAATACATTTTTGCTAAAGCAAGGAGAACTCAGGTATCTCAAGCTACCTTTCGTGATATGCGGAATTGCTGCCAAAACTAAGCTTGGCTAAGGAACTTCCGGTGGAACAAAATTTGGCTACTCATCAAGTGTTCCAGAACATGGCCTCTAAGGAGATCCTGCTCTCAGCTTCCAAAGTGCATCAACATCGGGAGATGTCACTTCAGCTGAGCGAGACCTATATACCAGCATAGACCCCAAACAGCTTCAAAACGGTTCGTTGGGACCAATATTAGTCAAAAACGATTTCTTGGTACGCCCTACCTGCCCCCCAAGAGCAAATTGCTTTATCAATGATTTTTGTCGGCATCGACGTCGCTAATTGTTCGGCCATAAGGGAACACAAGAGAAGAGCAGGACAAGAGGAGGATAGAGGATGACAAGACCCGGTCACAGAGCCCGGCCACAGAGTTCAGGGGCGCGGCCGGTCAGTGTGTCCAGGGCTGGACACCGCGGCCACAAAACAAGAGAAGGACAAGACCCGGACACAGAGCCGGGCCACAGAGCCAGGCCACAGAGTTCATGGGCGCGGCCAAGAGAAGGAGGAGGACAAAAGAAGGACAAGAGAAGCACAAGAGGAGGACAAGACCTGGACAGAGCCAAGACAAGGACAAGAGGAGGACAAGACCCGGACACAGAGCCGGGCCACAGATTTGGCGCGGCCAGTGAGTGTGGCCAGCTCTTTTTTCCTAAGATAGAACCCCAACAGTAAACTGTTTGGGGGAAAACCACGAGATCTTGCAAGATCGCAGACTCCAGTCTTGTGTGGTGGGTGTCTAGAGTCTAGAACTCCTTATAATCCTCGCGAGTCCTTCCAGCAATATTCTATATTTCTATATTAAAGGAAGTCACCCGGACCCGCGACCTTTTGAGACAAACCATGTTAGCCCTCTCTGAATCAACCAGAGCTTTTTGGCCACCCCGTCGTGAGGCCGCCGCGTAGCCCGATGGCACATGTGTGCGGGTCGCTTCGCCAAGTGTCCGATCCCTGCGGTCACCAGGACGAATCTGGCCTCGAATTGGAAAGTGACCACAGGCACCAAAACCAGCAGGAAGGCAAGCAGAAGCCACCTCGGCCGCAGCTGCGTTCGTTGCAAAGGTTCGTTTGTCTTGGTCAGTCTAAAGACAGAACCACAGGACCCGGGCTCCTGTTTATCCAATGTGCTTTGCGACACGCTCTCACATGTGTTTCCTCTTGATTTTACCTTCACCTACCTCGTTTGCTCAACAGGATCTATGTTTAAAAAAGATATATAATACACACATATGATGTGCGCTTTGTCAAGTTGTTGGGTCCAGCTCCTAAAGATTTGTAAAGTAAGAAGCTCAAAGATTGGCTGTGGAAGGCTCCAGACCACCCCCATCGGATGCTATATAATGTCACTCCTATGAGATTTGGGGCTGCCACAATGACATGTGCCAACTGATCTTCCAAGGGGTCACCACATACCACGGGTACACGTCAGACCTGTAGGAACCCAGTATGCCTCGAACAGGGCATCTTACAACATGAGAAACACCTGTGACAGACCCGGCCCCTCCGGGGAATCTATATAGTAGAAGGCCAGCAGTTAGAATACTCAGAAATTAAGGGTATGCAGTTAGAATACCTGATTTTCTTGAACCACTGGGTCTTACATTCTTGCAGTTAGAATATTCCCCAGTTGGAACGACTGTGCATCTGAAAAATTCAAACAGAAAGACAAGAGTATAAAGCCATCAATCAATCGGTGTTCAAAAAGAGATACTAAAACCGTTGGTGCATAATATTCTATGTGCATGTTGAACTATTCTATCTGCATAGGGATATTCTATCTGCATCGTTTTTCACCCGGACCTCCGTCTCTATTTCTTTATAGCGGTGAAGTGAAAGGGTAAATATTGTAAGTGCTAGGCGCTACTACTATATATGTATCTGAAATTAATTGCAAAGATTGTACAGTGGTTTCAGAGTAGATGGCACAAACCCCTGCATGTCTTTTAGATGGGGGTCCATATAAACCACCTCTTGGTGATTGTGCCAACTACTGTAAATATAATGATATTGTATAGTTACTTACTCACGTCATCTCACATCTGACCCTTACTTGTCAGGCTGCTTGTACAGTTTCTCAATATATGTAGTGGCCTTGACTCTAGCCTTTCTGCACGAGACATTTCAATGTGGAATGTAGGGCTAATGGGGAATGCCTGTGCAATGCCAAAACAAAGAAAAAGGTGGTCAACTAATCGAGAAAGTATTGCAGTGACTGACCCTACGAAAGTTGGCCGCCAAGTCACACCAGCATGGGAATCTGCAGCGGCGCCACAAGAAACAAGGTCGTTGGGAAATAGATTCCTCAGCCGTCTCCATCAACCTGCTGCGCGACATCTCGCAAAAAGAAACGAACATGGACTTCAAATCCTGATGAACAAAAAAATGTAACTGCATTCGCAATATATAGCCATTTACTTAGCCATTTGTATCCATTTATATCCATTTATATACTTTGTTCATTACCCTAGGCTCATCTACTCCAGGCCGCACGTCGCCAGAAAAAATGACGTCCGATACCAGAACCCGTCAGACCCATTGTGTTCAACATTTCTACAGCAACATCTTCCTGCCCGGACACAGACGACGGCAAATAGTTACATGTGAACAATCGTGGAATACATACATTTATTAAAAAAAGAATATTAAGCACCATTCCAAATCCCCAACGCCAATGTAGATTATACAAATGGTACACATCTTTGGACTGGCTTCACATGGTCTTTTCTGCGATGCCTCTTTCCCCTCCCAAAGGCCAGCGCATAAAACTTCCACATACACCCACGCACATGAGACGCACAGCTGCTGAGATAGCCCATGGAGGTTTCGATG